ATGCCCTAACCGCATCTACAGCAATTTGTGCGTATACGCCAGGATTATATTCAATTTGTTGCCGTTGACCCTCATAAGGTCCTTTTCCTAACAACATATATAGATTTCTTTGAGGGTAACTGGCTGCTGCATTTCGTCTAGCTGTCTCCCTGCAAAATTCCTCATTGGCAACCTTCCATAACAAATATTGTCCTCCATTTAGCACAGATTTACACATACTAGCCCAATCTGCTGGCGTCATGTCCAAGTTGGTAATGGATTCGACCATGCTTACAGTGAACGGTGCTTGAGGACCATAGGTTGTTACAGCCTCCTTTAACTGCTTCACTGTTTTGAAATCTAAAGCACGGTGAATTCGCTGCCCTCCTGCCTGCTCAAGTACAGGGCATGCTAATCTTTGAGGTCCTGTCTCAGGATCCCATCTATCAACTACGGGGTTTGAGGGCCACTCAGCTATTTCCATAGGGGGAGCTGTTGGTTGAATTACGCCCTCTGGTGATAGAACGGTGTTAGTAGCAGCCTCCTGTTGTAGCTTTTTCCCTAATAGCTGTTTCTCCTCTAAGCTTTCTTCCTTTAAATTTTCTTCCTCTGTCTGACTACCTTGAGAGACCTTCTCTTTTGCTTGATCTAAAATGTCTTTCTCCATGGTCTGAACCTCTAACAATTTACTTAACACTCTTTCAGTTTGTTTTTTACTAATTTCTAATCTGTTATAAAGATAACGCAACCCAATAAGATAACACAAAACCGAAACAGAATGAAACAAAAACGGAACAAAAAATCGTTGTATCAATTTTCCTATTTTCTTGATATGTGTATTTGTGGTCTATTTCTATCTCTTCCTCAGGGGTGAACAACTTCAAACTTTGAGCCAACCATTTTTCCCAATCTGCCTGAGAAAATTCTAGGGATAGGCAGCTTGAAACAAACACAAAACAAATCAAAACAAGAACACATTGTTTTTTAAAATGGTCACCCATTCTCTCGCCTTCCCTTAGGGGCAAGCAATTTCACTTACCCCGAAGCTTCAGAAGTTCCCCGTACGGGCCACCAAATGCCGCAGTCTGGCTGGGCACAAATCACGAGCCACTGAAGCAGGAACAAACTTCATTTTTAAACTGCGGGAAAGCACTTCACACAGCTCCCGGGGAATCCTCCCGAACGCCACGAGGCTTGTCCAGGAACCCCCAGCCGGAAATATCTCTCCCGGAAATCCCTCCTCCTGCACTTCCCCAACCAATGGGAACTCTCGGGGAATCCCCGGAAATCCCCACGAGAACTCCAAAATAGTGCGAGAACTCAAAAGTTGCGGCAGAGGCGGATAGTAATGCCTCGCCTGTCAATCAATACTGTTGGCAAAATGCCAGGGGCCATACAGACTCAGCCGTGGCTCTCAGCAAAAGATAGCACCCAGATCTTGAATTCCAAGATCTGTTGTCCAGTGAGGGTCCCTTGGAGAAGTGATTGGTTCCAAAGTTGAGACAGGGAGATCATGATAAATGAGTTGAGCTGGGTGGGTGATGCACACCTTCAATCCCAATGACTTGGTATGCTGAGGCAGGAGGGTCAGCCTCAGCAATTTAGCAAGACCCTACTCAAAACAAAAACCAAAAAGGGCTGGGGATGTAGCTTAGCCCCTGGGATCAATCTCCAGTTCCCCTGCCAAAGGGAAAAAAAAGAAAAGATAAATGAGATGGGTATCTCTGGTCAGTCCCCAAAACTAAGAAAATCTGGGGTGGGGTGGGCTGAGACAGAGAGAGAAGAGGGTTTGTTAAGAACCCAGGAGTCAATTTGAAAGTCTCCTAAGAGCCAAAGGGGAAATAACTTAAGCAACAAAATGACATTGAATTTTTACTTCACCTCAAGACAAAATATACATCCATGAGTCCATACTATAAGTAATCAAATAAATAAATGGGGGAAAGGAGACAGGTCTTCCTAAATGAGTTTCAATTAACAAATGTAGGAAGAAAAGAAACAGAAAAGCTGTCATTCAGAAAGCATCAGAATAACAGCTGTTGTGGACAATAGCCACTAAAACTAGTAGGTGACTTTGAGGAAAAACCAGTTGCTTATGGTTAAAATATCTCCAAGATATCTATTAACTAAAAAGGGAAAACTATAACACAGAAAAATCTAACAGAAACCACCATAAACAAGTGATCAAGGCTGGTGCCAGAATTCTGTGATATAAAGAACTGAGGACACTTCATTTCTATGATCCTCTTCCAAAAACCTCAGTCACACACACACACAAAAAAGATAGACCCAAATGGAGGCCATTAGACAAAATAACTGATAAAATCTCTTCATAATTGAAAGGGTATGAAAGACAAGAATGAGGAACTTTTGAGATTAAAGGAAAGGTAGAAGAAACAGAATGCAGTTTCTAGATAGTATTCTGAAAGACAAAATGGATATTAGTTGGAAAACTGGTCAAATAGAAGTAAGTTTCTTGATTTATTTTGCCAAATGTTAATTTCTTGGCTCTAACAGTTGTACTGTGATTATGTAAGATGTTAAGATTAGGGGAAGCTAGGTAGAAAATATAAAGAAACTGTACTATTAATGCAAACTTTCTGTAAATATACAATCAGTTCAAAATAAAAACTTTAATATTTATTTGTTTTTAGTTTTCAGCGGACACAACATCTTTGTTTGTATGTGGTGCTGAGGATCGAACCCGGGCCGCACGCATGCCAGGCGAGTGCACTACCGCTTGAGCCACATCCCCAGCCCCAAAAATAAAAACTTAAAAATTAGAATTACAACATTGTCTTTGGAGCTTTATTTCCACTTCTGGTGTTAATTTATGGCTAACACTGTGTTTTGATTCTAGGCTGTAAGTACTATTTTGTACAATCACTCTAATGAAATGTTTGTGGAACGAAAATCTTTTTTTGACATGATTATGGTTGAGGAATAATACATTTCCTATATTCACCAGGGATTCAACTCCCAGAGTCCTGCTCCTGGGCGGGATGGAGAGAAAGTCTTTCCAAGTAAGTCTATACTCTGCCACTGATTCTGTCCCGTCCCCCGCCCCAGGAATACATGATTAGAAAAGAATCAAATTCCTGCCTTCTATACTTCTGCAAGTATACATTTAACAGGTGTAACAGTAAAAAATTAAAATTAGAATTTGTTTAAATGCCCTTAGCTTCAAAAGGAGTAAGAACTGGCATTAAATAAAATAGCAAAGAATTTAAGCTTGTGAGCATAAGTTCTGAGTTTTATTTAATTGCAAGGAATGCTTCCTAGGTACATACTTTTTTCTCTTCTAAGTTCTTTAGCTTGGAAAAATTGCCCTTGCAGAGACAACGAACAGTGTTAGTATGTTTGAAGAGTGATTTATTAAATCTACCTGTGAAGTGATATATTCTCGGTGAAGCCTTCTGAAATATTTTTTAAAGTAAAGTTTATTTACAAATGAAAGCAGATGGTTCTACAAAATTTACAGGTAATTACAGACTTTCTAAACTCAAAACATACATATATTTAAACATGTAAAGAGAAGCTCATTTTCTTCAAAAGTAGCTTTCTACCACTTTCTCATTGAATTATTTTTTAAAAAAGTTTTGAAAACCTATATTTAAACCAAATCAAGATTTTTCTATAAATGAGACCTTTTTCCAAAAAGTTTAGAAGACATCACAGTATGTGATGTTAAACCAATCTCATCACAATAAATAATTTACTTTTTTTTTTTTTTTTTTGGTAGTGCTGGGTATTGAACCCATGGCCTTGTACATGTGAGGCAAGCACTCTACCAACTGAGCTATATCCCTAGCCTGGTATTTTACTTTTATGGAACATTGTACAGTATTTCCTTTTTAACCTTCATGTTAGATTTAACTGTGTATATGATATGTAAACACAACATTAATCTTCATTATTCAGTAGTAGACTGTCATATTTACCAAATACCATATAAATTGTCATACCATAATTACAAAAATGGCAAAAGGCAACCTTCTTTTTTAAAAAAATATTTTTTTAGTTGTCAATACATCTTTATTTTTTATGTATTTATATGTGGTACTGAGAATCAAACCCAGTGCCTCACACATTAGGTAAGCACTCTACCAATGAACCACAACACAGAAAGGCATTCTTAAAGGCAACAAACTCTGTCCTGATTTTTGGAAAATCACCACTCTTCTTCCTACTTTCTCCAACTTTGAACTGTACCTTTTATAGTATTTTTACTACATAAAGATATTTATAGCACTTTTACTTTGTTGCTTTCTTTTTAGATACTCTGAATTTTTTTGAAAGGCACCAAAATTAGACTCCTTAGTTTCAGATTTTTTGTCCCTTTTTAGAATGATTTTCCTCAGAAAGGGTAACTCTAAGAACTTAAGGAAACAGAAGGAATTGAATGATATAACACAGCAACTTGAAACTTGCGGCATTTAAAAGGTATAAATATATTTATAGGTCCCATGAACTTATCAGGACAAAAAGTCAAAATAACTTTCTGAAGATAAACATGAAAATAGAGTACATTTATTAACAGTAGGAAAACTCCTAAGGTTATAGTAACAATGTATTAAATTTTACATAGTAACACAGTCGAAAGCATTAGAAATTCTTTGCCAGATATTCTAAGCATTATCCTGAAAACCTGCCTGACATATACCATTAACATATAACAAAGCATGGCATTTATTTTTACAGGAAGAAAAAATAAGTTCCATCACAAAAACATATTTACTAGATTTCAGCTTTGATTAAAGTCTACAGATATATTTTAAGGATTAAAAAAGAAAAACAAGATTCATCTCTAAAATAAAAGTCAAATATATGTGCATAAATATATATGTGTATATGTTAATAATCTTTATGTTTTTACAATGTAAAACACTTAGAAACTTTTTTTTTTTTTTTTGGCGGGGGTGGGGGTGGGAGTGGGGGTCTACCGGGGATTTAACCCAGGGGTCTTTAACTACTGAGTCATATCTCCATCCCTGTTTATTTTTTATTTTGAGACTGGGTCGTGCTAAATTGCTTAGGGTCTCATTTAGTTGCTGAGGCTGGCTTTGAACCTGCAATCCTCCTGCCTCAGCCTCTGTAGCCACTGAGATTTTTGAACTCTAGAAAGTTTGACCAGTTAACCTATTTGGCTTTAACATTGTCTAAGTTCTCTTCTGAGAATCACATTGATATTTCCGGTCCATGAGTCCAATATGGATAGAGCCATTATTTTTTTTTCTTCTTTGGTGGCTCATCTTCAGAGCTGCTATCTGTGCTGGTGCTGCTACTACTGGAAGAGCTGGAGTCTGAGTCTGAATCAGAGGAGGAGGAAGAGGTTGTGGAGGAAGCTGAAGATGAAGAACTAGAGGAGCTCTCATCGGTGTCACTGTCCTCTGAGGAAGATGAGGTAGATGTTTCTTCACTCTCTGATGAAGAATCACTGGCTGAACTGTCACTGCTATTGCTACTGGAACTAGTTACACTCTTCGACCTATTAGACAATGAACAGTATATACATGGGAAGCTGATATGTAATAGAATGTTTAGAAGCAATTTCATATAGCATTATGGATGCACATTGTTATGCTTTGCCAGAATGTTCTAGGTTTGATGCTTTGGGAATTGCCTGTTTTAAGTCACAACTGCACCCTTTACAAGATCTTTTTTACTTCAGTAATTTAAACTCTTGGATGGGGTTCCCAATCAGCCTATCTACTCTTATTATGCTTCAGAGTGAATAATACTCGAATAAAGCTGCAGTTTAACAATTAGATCTATTTAAATCTCATATAGAATAATAAATATTTTTATATTCTTTGTTTTTGATGGTGGTGGGGAGGAAACGCAGGGTCTTGCACATACTAGGTAGTGCTCTACCACTAAATTATATCCCCAGCTTCATACTCTTCATTTTAACTATTTCAGACCAGATAGGGCTGGCCAACAATTTCCTATTCATCTAGAATTTCCTATTTTAAACCAAAAGAAGACATTTACTACTTCCAGGTGTAAGAACTCTAGAAAGACACAAAAAAAGGAGAAATGGAGGCAATAAATTCCAAATAGGTTAGTATTACCATTATTGAATGGCAAACAACAGAATTCAGAATCAAATCTTATATCTGTTATTTCAAAACCACCATTCTCATCCCACCAACTAGCATGACATATATCTATTTAATACTTCCAAAGCCACAAATACCTTTTTTTCTTGGTCTTTTTTTCTACATTGGTCTCTCCAGTGCTGATAGACATGCTGATAGAGAAAAAAAAAGTCCTGTTAATATATACACAGTTTAAACAAACCCTTCTGCCATTCCCCAAAGCTGTTCTACATCATAGAAACACTTGCTTTATAACATATACTCAGAGTACAGTATTCCTTGTTATAACCAAGTAGAAAGTTTCCTATTTTAGGCTATCTATGATATACAATCCACTTAATCAAAAAGAAATGTGGAACAGGAGGAGAACCAATAAGCACAATTTTTTGTTGTTGTTTTTACCAAGAATTGAACCCAGGGGCACTATGTCAATGAGCTACATTTCCAGCCCTTTTAATTTTTTTTTATTTTGAGACAGGGTCTCACTAAATTGCTTAGTGCCTAAGTTGCTGAGGCTAGCCTTGAACCTGCAATCAGTTTGGGATTACAGGTGCTTGCCACTGTGCCTGCTTAACAGGCATGTTCTTACACAGGTTTGTTTCTGAAAAGGTACACATGAATATTGATGATATAAAAGTTCATTATTTATGGGCTGGAGTTGTAGCTCAATGGTAGAACAACTGCATAGCACCTGTGAGGCACTGGGTTCAATCCTCAGCACCAGAAAAAAATAAATATATAAAATAAAGGTATTATGTCCATCTACAACTAAAAAGAAAATAAAAAAAAAAAAAAAAAGAAGAAGAAGAAGAAGTTGTTGTTTATCCCTGCATGACCCTGGAAGAAATTTCACCTGTGCAGAGTGGAAGACTGCTTCTGTGGAAGTCCAGATGTTTACTATACTATTATGTAGCTAATAGTCCTTATAAAGATGCTGCTTCTAATCTGCAACACTAATTAAACCCAACACTTTCCTACTTCAGCTTATTTAATAAACAAATACTCATCTCATAGGAATTTTGAATGTCTTATGTCAAAGAACATAAAAGACTAAATAATTTTCCAGTTCCCCTCCTATCTAGTTCTTGTAGGAAGCAATCACTATAACCAATCACTTATATTTTCAAAAATAATTCTATTATTCTTTTTTTAACATAAATTATAGTATATTATATATACTATTCTCTAGTTTATTGATACACTTATTGTATATTGGATAGCTTACCATATCTATTCAGATCATGTACCTTATAATATCCTGTTGCCATTCCATTGATAGTTGAGGCAATAGAGCAATGATTAAGAACGTAGATTCTAGGGACAGACTGGTTGGTTGAACAATGAACTTTTCTACTAGTTGCACAACACGAAACAAGTTACTGTCCTCGCTGTGTCTCACTTTCTTCACATGTAAAGTGAGGATTAAAATAGTATCTACCTTAATATTATAGATTTGAGGCTTAAATAAGCTAATACTTGTAGAGTTTAGTATAGTGCCTAGTACAAGTAAGCATTCACTAAACATTCGCTATTATATAATTTTTGGGGGGAGTGGGGACTAGAGATTGAACTCAGGGGCACTCGACTACTGAGCCACATCCCCAGCCCTATTTTGTATTTTATTTAGAGACAGGGTCTCACTGCTTATTGCCTCGCTTTTGCTGAGGCTGGCTTTGAACTTGTGATCCTCCTGCCTCAACCTCTGGAACTGCTGGGATTACAAGCATGCGCCACTGTGCCCAGACACTATTACATAATTAAAATCTGGAAAACCACCACAAAACATTTCGTCTCTTAATAAAATCTAAAAGTACTTATAAAATATTCCTTTGTATACCACATGTAAACCCACCTTTGTTGTAATAATAATTTTTCTTTTTCTTTTAAAGCTTTCTTTAGTTCTGCTGTTCTTGAAGGCCTATGGAGGTATTTTCTTTTTCCTGTGCATTCATAAGTCCAATGTCCAAATTCCAAGCATTTCTGACATCTAACATGTTGCTTATTTGCTTCACTAAAGAGAAAAAAAAAAACCATTATGAAGTCAAACAACAATAAGTGCTGGCGAGGATGCGGGGAAAAAGATAGTCATACATTGTTGGTGGGACTGCAAATTGGTGCAGCCAATTTGGAAAGCAGTATGGAGATTCCTTAGAAAGCTGGGAATGGAACCACCATTTGACCCAGCTATTCCCCTTCTCGGACTATACCCAAAAGACCTAAGAAGAGCATACTACAGGGACACAGCCACATCAATGTTTATTGCAGCACAATTCACAATAGCTAGAATGTGGAACCAACCTAGATGCCCTTCAACAGATGAATGGATTTAAAAAAATGTGGCATTTATACACAATGGAATATTACTCAGCACTAAAAAACAATAAAATCATGGCATTTGCGCAAATGGATGGCATTAGAGCATATTATGCTAAGTGAAGTTAGCCAATCCCTAAAAAACAAATGCCGAATGTCTTCTCTGATATAAGGGGAGTGACTCCAAATGGGATAGGGAGGAAGAGCATGAGAAGAAGACTACCACTAAATAGGGAAGAGAGTTGGGAGGGAAAAAGAGGGAGAAGGGGAGTTGCACAGAAGATGGGAGGAGAACCTCATTGTTATACAGAATACATATATGATGTTGTAATGAGAAAAAGAAAAAAAAAAGTGTGTCACATTAGATTGGATAGAGAGAAAGGATGAGAAAGGAGGGGAGGAATAGGGAGGATAGGAAGGGCAGCAGATTAGAATACACAATAAGATTGATGTATGTACATTCCATGTATGTATTATATATCAAAATGCATTCTAGTGTCATGTATGACTAAAAAATAAATAAATTTAAAAAAAAGAGAGAGAAAAAAAACAAGCCTTAAGTTTTTTCCTTGTGATACTTTCTTCCTTGAAAAGCATAAATAATATAAAGTGTAAAATGATGTTTATTTGGGGGCTGGGGCTGTAGCTTAGTGGTAGAGTTCTTGCCTAGCACGTGTGAAACATTGGGTTCAATCCCCAGCACCACATAAAAATAAATAAATAAATAAATAAAATAAAGTATCCATCTACAACTAAAAATGCTTTTTAAAATGATGTTTATTTTTATAACAAAGGGCATATAAGGCAATATAGTATGTAATTCAAAGTATATACCGTGTAATTGAATAGAACTAAGTTCAAATCTTGGCTCTTCAGTTCTATTCCAGTAAAGACAGACTAGGTAATTCTGACAAACTCTCTTAGCTCAAAACTAGAAATGATAGTCAAATCATTTTTAATTAATTAATTAATTTATTGTTTATTTATAAAATATCTTTATTTTTATTTGTTTATTTTTATGTGGTGCTGGGGACTGAACCCAGGACCTCATGCATGCGAGGCAAGCGTTCTACCACTGAGCTGCAACCCCATTCCTATTATTTTTTATTCTAATTTGTTATATATGATAGCAGAATGCACTACAAAATACATATTATACATATGGAACACAATTTTTCATGTCTCTGGTTGTACATAAATTAGAGTCTCACCATTTGTGTCTTCATACATGTACTTAGGGTAATGATGTCCATCTCATTCCACTGTCTTTCCTACCCCATGCCTCCTCCCTTCCCCTCCCTCCCCTTTACTTTATCTAGAGTTTGTCTAATCCTCCATGCTCCCCAACCCAACCCCATTATGAATCAGCACCTTTATGTCAGAGAAAACATTCAGCATTTGATTTTTTTGGGATTGGCTAACTTCACTTAGCATTATCTTCTCCAGCTCCATTCATTTACATGCAAATGCCATGATTTTATTCTCTTTTAATGCTGAATAGTATTCCGTTGTGTATATACACCACATTTTCTTTATTCATTCATCAACTGAAGGGTTTTCTAGGTTGGTTCCATAGTTTAGCTATTGTGAATTGTGCTGCTATAAACATTGATGTGGCTGTGTCCCTGTAGTATACTGTTTTTAAGTCCTTTGTATATACACCGAGGAGTGGGATAGCTGGGTCAAAAGGTGGTTCTACTCCCAGTTTTCCAAGGAATCTCCATACCACTTTCCATATTGGCTGCACTATTTTGCAGTCCCACCAGCAATGTATGAGTGTACCTTTTTTCCACATCCTCACCAACACTTATTGTTGTTTCTATTCTTATTAGCTGCCATTCTGACTGGAGTGAGTAGTTTTGATTTGCATTTCTCTAATTGCTAGAGATGTTAAACATTTTTTCATATATTTGTTGATTGATTGTATATCCTCTTCTGAGACATGTCTGTTCAATTCCTTGGCCCATTCATTGATTAGGTTATTTGGTTTTTTTTTGGTGTTAAGATTTTTGAGTCCTTTACATATCCTAGACATGAGTGCTCTATCTGATGTGTGTGTGGTAAAAATTTGCTCCCCAAATATAGGCTCTCTATTCACCTCACTGATTGTTTCTTTTGCTGAGAAGAATCTTTTTAGTTTGAATCCATCCCATTTATTGATTCTTGATTTTAATTCTTGTGCTGTAGGAGTCGTATTATGGAAGTCGGGGCCTAATCCAACATGATGGATATTTGGGCCTACTTTTTCTTCTAATAGGCTCAGTGTCTCTGGTTTAATTCCTAGGTCCTTGATCCACTTTGAGTTGAGTTTTGTGCATGGTGAGAGATAGGGGTTTAATTTCATTCAAAACATTTTTAACAGTCTACTTGAGGAATCAGAGAATTTAACAAGGGGATAAGAATAACCAAGCCAAGATATGGAAGAAGATTGAAATCCAAAGTCAACGCTTATGTTGGAGATGTTTGCCAAACTCAAGAGGGTACATATCACTTGTCTCAAGTTAGGGAGATAAACTTTGGGTGCAGAGTTGATTCTGAAGCACCATGTTCTAAGAATAAACCAAACCTTATATGGACTGCAGCACAGCTGCAAGTCATCTGTAAAACTGAAAAAAATCCGAATCCCTAAAATCAGACCGAAATATAGCAAGGAGAAAAAAATAGGTGAAAGAAATGAAAAACAAGAAACAAAATTGTCATTCCGTACTGATGATGTATTATAAGGTACATGGCAAATCCAAAAGAATCTGTAGACAAAATATTCTGAAATACTTAGAAGTAATGAGCAACTTGAGCAAGTCTTTTAGATCAGGATCTGACTATTAAGAGTCAGATGGTGAGCTGAGACTATAGCTCAGTGGCAGAGCACCTGTCTAGCAAGTGTGAGGCACTGGGTTCAATGGTTTGTGGAACCCTGTATTAGATAAAATAAGGTCAATATATAAAAATCTATTAATGGAGTGTCTATTTAACAAAATGAAGTTAAAAATGAAAAATTTGAATATGACATTTATAATTTTCTTAAAATTACTAAATACCAGTCAGGTGTGATGGCACATGCCTGTAATCCCAGCAATCTGGGAGGGTGAGGCAAGAGGGTTACAAATTTGATGCTAGCCTCACCAATTTAGCAAGGCCCCTAATAACTTGGTACGACCCAATCTCAAAATAAATAATAAAAAAGGGGATGTAAACTGGGCACAGTGGCACGTGCCTGTAATCCCAGCAGCACCTGAGGCTGAGACAGATAGCAGTTCAAAGCCAGCCTCAGCAACAGCAAGGCACTAAGCAACTCAGTGAGACCCTAAATAAACTAAAATAGAAAAATAGGCCTGGGATGCGGCTCAGTGGTCAAGTGCCCGAGTTCAGTCCTTAGTACCAAAAAAAAAAAAAAAAAAAAAACCAAGGAGATGTAGCTTAATGATGAAGTGAAGTGCCCCTGGGTTCAATCCCCAGAACAAACAAAAACAATAACAATAATAAAAACTTACCAATGAAAGAAGAGATGTACAAGACTCCCATGTATAAAATAAACATTACTGAGAGAAATTTAATATTTAAATAAGTGATTAAATGGAAGGATATCTAATGTTCAAGACTGGAGATTCAATATTGTAAAAAATGTGAATTCTTCCAAAATTGATTTACACATTCAAAGCAATGCCAGTCAAAATCTCAACAAGTTTCTCTGATGTAGATCAAGTTTATTCTAAAATGTGCATAGTAATTGAAAATGACAAGAATAGCTAAAATCCCCTTGTGAAAGAACAAGTAGAGAAGTCTTTTTTGCCTTATTACAATCCTATAATAAGAATATGAGGGGCTGGGGTTGTGGCTCAGCTGTAGAACGCTCGCCTCGCATGTGCAAGGTCCTGGATTTGATCCTCAGCACCACATAAAAAAAAGGAAATATAAGCATAAGAAGAAAGTATAGCATAAGAAAAAATGACAGATTTTAGTTAGCAACTCAGGAGGCTGAGGCAAGAGAACTGTAAGTTCAAGGCCAACTGCAGCAATTTAGCATGACCCTAAGCAACTTAGCAAGACACTGTCTCAAAATTAAAAAAAAAAAAAAAAAAAAAAAGCAGGTTGGGGATGTAGCTCAATGGTAGTGTGTCCCTGGGTTCAATCCCCAGTACCACAAGTAAATGAATATACAAATAATAAAGAATTTTTATTAGTTAAAATATATTATGAAAAGAATAAAAATGGAGTCTAAAAAGGAGATTATTGCAACATATATAAATATGCCCTCACTTCCAGATTATACAAAGAACTGTCATGAATTAATAAGAAAATTATGTATAACAGAAAAATAAGATTAAGTAGAAAATGGAAAGACAGTACAAAAAAGAGACTGGAAAGCACAAATGAACAATAAACATGAAAAAGTGCTCATTCTGGGCTGGGGATGTGGCTCAAGCGGTAGCGCGCTCGCCTGGCATGCGTGCGGCCCGGGTTCGATCCTCAGCACCACATACAAACAAAGATGTTGTGTCCGCCGAGTACTAAAATAAAAAAGAAAAAGTGCTCATTCATGATCAAAAAGCATATTAAAGCTCTAATAAAACACCACTGGAAAGAAAGACTAAAATTAAAAACCAGCAATAGAAAATATTAGCAAAGATATACAGGAAGAGGAATACTCATCTATTGTTGATGAAGAATACAAACCGGTACAACCATTTCACACACATA